TCGGGCATGCAGCTGGTGTGCTGCGCTGTGCCCTGGGCAAGTCACCCCGGCACGGGCACGGGGTCACGGGAGCCGCAGAGACAGGGCTGGCAGGGACCCTGAGGGTCATCGGGGCTGTCCCTCGGCTCGGGGCTGGAGAGTTGGGATTGATCCTGTGAGTGTATCTTTCTGCACAGCTCTGCTCCTCTCCCCACCCCCAAAGACAGGCTGTGTGACCACCAAGGGTATCACCCCCCCCTACCCCAGGCCAGGGTCCAGCTCATGTGGGGCTGACAGGACCCCCATCCCCTCTCTCACTTTCAGCTCTGCATCCCAAGGGCATCAGCATTGACAGGGACGAGCTGGCAGTGGCACTTCTATGCCAGCAAGTGATGAGATGAGCCATGAACTTTGTTTCCTCCCTGCATCCAACTCCGATCTTTAAGAGCCAAACTGGTCTCCCCGAAACTGGCATGGGAGTCTGCTCCTGCTTGGCTCAGAAGGAGGAATGGCGGCAGGGAGAGACAGAAAGTCGCGGCAAGGAGGGTGGAGATGCTGCTCCACGCACAGGACGCTGCTCTCGGCCTCCTGGCTTTGCCCCCAGCCCGCACGCCGCTCCTGTCCCTGCACTCGGTGTGGGAGAGGAACAAATGTTTTTCCCACTTTAGGTTTTTGGGTGTCTTTTATGGTTTTATTTTAATAGCCTGAGCGTGTAGGTGGCTGCATATCTCAGAAGACCCAGGAGTCCTGCCTTCTTCACGCTGGCATAGGGCAAGGGAAAGCAGTTTCCACTGTCAAGAGGCTGCGTACCAGCTGTACAGAGCAGCAGCCTGGTGTGGGAAGGGAGTTACTCAGCATTTGGTTCCCAAGAGACCAAAAAAAAACCAAAAACCAGCTCGAACTGACTTTCCAAAATACTTTGAGGTTCATAGTAATGTTCTTGTCTTTGTCTCATAAATATCCTGGGTTGGATCCTTCCCTCATTTCCATCCCGTAACTCATGGAGAGGCACCAGAGTGTGGCTGCTGCGCGTTATTCTGCCTATTTTTATTTTTTATTTCTTTGGATACATGATCTCAGTTGATTGGAAAACAAACCCCAGAGAATCCTTGAGGAGAGACTGCAAACAGCTCTTGGTGAGATGACTAATCCCATCTCTATCTAAACCAACAGCGTGCTAAAAATAACCCTATTTCTAACAATAAATATAATAAAATAACTAACTGACAACAAACAGCCCCAAAAAGCCAAACACACTTAAAAGTCCACTAGAAATATGTATCGGGATGGGGGAAGGAGCCAGCAGAAAACTGTGTCAGTGAGTCAGAGGGGTGGTGGAGGCTGAGGTGCCCGTGCCACCGGTGATGCTCGGTCGGATCCAGCCTCTCTGTCAGGACCATCTTTACCTCTCGCCCTAATGGAGATATTTGTGCCTTTGTTTTGTTTACTCCAGATCAATGTGGGGAAGGTGCAGAGGCACCAGATCGTGAGGAAGCTCAGCCCAGAGTCACCATCCTGACCCTCAGCACCTGCTGTCCCGCTGAGAGCCCTCGAGCGGGACCCCCTGCCCCAGCTTCGGGCTGCAGGTCCATCACCCCCCGGCCTGCTCCCTGCCCACCAGCCTCCCTGGCCCTGTGCTCATCACACACCTTGAATAAGTCGGATAATTTTCCGCCTACTTTCCACGCACCAGGAGCCTCCCACACCCAGTGTGTTGCAAAACAACCCCCTCAGCTGAGTCACCGGCATCGGGGAACCTCTTCCTGCCCTCCCGGCCTGGGATGGGGCTCAGGGCAGAGCCAGCCATGACGAAGAGTCCCTATAGGAGTACACCCCAGCCCCATCCTGTGTCACCCCAGGCTTTTGGGGAGGGAACTGGGTGTTTTGGGCTTGTGCAGTGCCCTGTGCCGTGGGGGCTGGCGCAGGGAGACCATGTGATGCTGTGTTAATGGCTATGGGCATAGTCTGGGTGAAAATGCAGTGACTCTGCCCCCATCCCCAGCAGCTCCCCTGCATCTGGTTTTGTGCTCCAAGGACACTGGGAGTGCCTGTATTCCCAGTGCTCCAGCTGAATGTGACCCAAAAGGACTTAGACATCCTTGTCATTGGTCCCCAGTCCCCCTTGTGCTGGGACAGTGGCCTTGTATGTGATAGAGTCATCACTTGGTATCCCTGATTTATGGGGCACTGGAGTCCTACTGGACTGGTGCTGGCTCCTTGCTGCTGGTATTGGAAGCTGGGCTGCATTCCACTGGTCAGGGGGACCCGTGAAACATCTCCTGTGGAGGCTCCAACCCCTGGCACAAGCTTTTTTCCACCGGGAGCAGTCCCACACCAGCCTCATTTTTATTTTTACTGCTTTGTGCAGCACGTGGGAGCCCGCCCAGGCCTGCCATGCCACGTGCAGCCCTGGGAAAGGAAAGCCTGTGCCCCATGCTGAGCCCCAGCTGTGCCATACAGCACTCCTCTGGCATTCCCAGTGGTGGGAGAACTCATCCAGTGGGAACACCAGCTCCTGCTGTGCCCCTCGTTGCGAACCTGGGGTGCAGGCAGGAGATCTGCAGCCTGCCAGCCATCAGCTCCATTCGAACCCCCAGCCCCGAGGCTTCTGGTGCCCACTGCCAGCACTGTCCTGAGGCCGTGGATGCACAGCACCAGACATGGCAGCAAGACAGGGACAGCACCCCCTAAAAAACAGAGTCCTGCCCCAATCCACAGCCCCAAACTGTCCTGGCATGGAGGTGGGAGTCACTGTTTGACCTGATGGATTTCTTGAGGGCAGCACACAGCAATTTATCCAGGTTGCAGCTACTGGAGGAGCAGGGAATGTAGTGTCCCGACTTGTAGCAGGGCCTGGGAGCTGTGGCCCTGCCACCAAGGAGCACATGGAGCCATCCCAGTGGTGGTGCCGCGTGCTCGGCTGAGCCCATGGCACTGCAGGAAGGGCCAGGGCAGGACTGGGCGCCCCAGGAGCCCTGGGAGGCCCCGGAGTCCTGTGCAGTGGGGATGCCAGAGGCAGGAGCAGCCCCTGGCCTGTGTCAGGGTAAAACGGGCAGGGTCATACCCACGAGGGGTCTGTGCTGGTGCCAGACACTGAACCGGGACCTTCCACTGCCTCTGAGTCCCAGATCCAGCATCCTGGCAGCAGAACTAGGACCTTCACGGGCAGCTGATGTCCTCCATATGGCTTTCGGGACACTCGGACCCCAGAGACCCACTGCTCTGAGCATGACACCCTATGGAAGCAGGGGCAGAACCCACCGTCCCCCCACCACCCCGGGGCAGCTGCCTCGGCCGCGGGGATGGGCTGGACCCCCCTTGCCCACCGACACGGGGGGGCCACGCCAGACCCTGCGGGGGAGAGAGGGGAGGTCCCGGCTCTGCCCCCCCTCGGCCTCGGTCCCCTCCCGGTCCCCTCGCGGTCGCCCCCCCCGCCGCGGCCATTGGCCGCCCGCGCCGCCGCCGCCGCCCCTGACGCTGGGCCGGGCCCGGCCATGGTCGCTCCCCGCCGGCTCCGCCGCAGCCCCGGCAGCGGCCGGTCCGCGCCCCGCTCAGGTGGGTCCCTCTCGCTCTTCTTCGCCGATTTGGTTTGTTTATTTTTTTGTTTCCTTTTTTTTTTAATTGTTCTTTTAAATTATTTTTTTTTTTTTTTTAACGTTTCGCGATTCTGGCGCTACTTCCGAGAACGCCTCCCTCCCTTCCTCTCCCCGGGCAGCCTTCGGGGGAGGGGGGGCGCCTGTCGGTGTTTGGGGTGGGGGGAAGCGGAGAGACCCCCCCGACCGCCGCGCGGTGCCGCCCCGAGGCGGCGGGGATGGGCGGGGGCGGCGGCGGCACATCCTCCCCCCGCGCCCCCCTCCTGCCTCCTCCCCCTGCCGCTTCAAAACAAACCGTCACCAAAATGGTGCAGAGGTGAAGGAGGGAGCGGGAGGAAGGGGAAGAGGCGGCGGCTCGGCCTGGGCGCTGCGGGGACAGGTGAGGGGGGTGCGGGACACGGGGCGGGGGGTGTGGGGCGCGGGGGTGGTGCAGGACACGGCGGGATGCGGGACGCGGGGGGATGCGGTGGCCGGGTGCGACGCGCCGGGATGGTCCCGCTGGGTGCTGCCGATGGGGCGGGGGCAGCACTGGGGGTGCCCACCCCGCCCCGGGGCGGTGGGCTGCGTCCCCGTGGGACATCCGTGGTGACGGCCCACGAGCCCACCCGCGACACCGCGGCCACCCCCGAGTGGGACCCGCCGCGGCCTGGCAGGACCCGGGGAGAAGCAGGGCCCAGCGGCTTTCGGGGGCTGGGGGCTGCCTTCCCGCGGGATGATGACACGGGGGAGCTGTGGCGGGACCCGCCGGTGAGGCTCGAGGTGCCGGTGTGGGCTGCGGTTTGATTGGCAAGAGCAGATTTTGGGAGAGCCGGCGGTAAATCGAGTCCCGGGAGCGTCCATGCCTTGGCCGAGCGCCGGCTCCGGAGCCCGACAGCTGGGATTGTTTGTGCGGGGGGGCTCAGTGCCGTGGTGGGGGGCAAACCCCAGCACTGCCCCCGCGGCCACCCCGGGGCGGCGAAAGCTTCCTTGGCTCGGCGGTGCGAGGGGCCAGGGTGCCGGGGCGGGATGCAGTGACAGGGCGTCCGGCATCTGCGGCTGTTCGGCATCCGTGACGCCTGCTTGCCCGCGGTTTATCCCTTCCCTGCAGTTCCCAAACCCCTTTGGCTTTGTCATTGGCTTTTATTTTTTTATTTATTTTCCTCCCCCCCGCTCCCCCCGCCTTGCGCACGAGAGCAGCACACCGTCAGCGAGACACACGTGTGTGCTTGCTTCCCTCTTCCCCCCGGGAGCCCCATGGCACCCCTGGCTCTGCATGGCCACCAGCTGAGCTGACCCCCCCCCCCTTCTCATCCTCCCCGGCTGGCGGAGCTGCCACAAGGTTTTGGCCGGTGACTCCCTGCTGCTGAGGGGAGGGGTCCGGGCAGGCACACAGACACTGGTGCTGGTGCAAATTCCCCTGGCACTTTGGCTCAGCGCCTCTGTCTGTCTGCCTGCCTTCAAGGGAAGGCCTGATCTTGCCCCTCCAAAGCCCTTTCTCCCACAGTGCCTGTGGCCACACGTAGGTTTTTGGGCTGGCTCTGCTCCACCAAGGTGGTTGTTCTCAAAGCACTGTCCCAGGACAGCCAGCCTGAATCCTCGCTGCCGACAGGGACAGGGCTTTGCCAACCTCAGTGCGATGGGGATGCTCACCAGGTGAGGCTGCGGATTTTGGGTGTAGGTAAGGGTTATTCTGGGTATGTTCTTCCCTTCCCTGAGCCGATTTGGTGCTGGTGGCCCTGGCCTGGGAGTGTTGGGGCTGCTCGTGTCCCTTGGGAACTCAAAGTGAGCTGCCTGCCCTGCCCTCGGGATTGCTGTCATGGGCTCCTGAAGGTCATAGACCTCTGGACGGGCCTCATGGCTTCTCCTTTCCTCCCCCACCACCTTGTCCTTCAGCCCCTGCAGTTGTCGTGGCTTTGCCAGGCTGAGGCATCCACACTTGTGCTGGCTCGGAGCAGGTGGCTGATGTCCCCGCAGCAGTGGGGCCGCTGCTCGGGTTTCTCCAGTGCCTCTGCCACGGCAGGGATTTAACATGCTCGTTTTGAAGGGGCATTAGCTGCCGTGTGTCAGGTGGCTCGGTGCTTCCCCTCCTGCCCCGGCTCTTCCCAGGGCACAAAGCGGCTTGGGGGCTCCTTGGGCTGAGTGGTCACATCCGTGCACGTGCTCGGTCCTGCTGGGGGGCTCTGGGAACCTTGGGAAGTGCCAGCTTTGTCAGCCAGTGACCTTGGGCATGTCCCTGTGCTTCCCCATGCTTTGGTGTTGCTCTGGGAGGAGGGGGTGGTTAATGAGTTTAATTGGGTTTAATTCCCCCCTCCTCACTGCTGTGGGGCTCTTGGCTGCGCTTGGGAAGTGTAACTGCAGAGCTGGAAAGGACTGTTGCTATTTCGTGCTGTCCCCGAGCGGGCAGGGCGGAGGCATGGACGGTGCTGGAGTCACCCAGGGTGGATTTTTCCCAGGCTGCCAAGTGAAACAAGTGGGGTCTGAGTCTCATTTAACGCTGCAGCCCTTTATTGCGACTCTGGCAACGTAAAGGAGCCTAAATATGGTCATAAACCACATCCACACTTCAAGGTCCCTCCATACTGCCAGGGCAGCCTCACAGCGGCTTTGTGTGAGAGAGAACAAAGCCAAAAGTGTCGGACGAAAAGTACGGGAGTGGGACCCAGCTGCCGCGGTGCTGGCGCGTGCCGGGAGCCAGTGCCGGCAGCTGTCTGGCAGGGAGGTGTCAATGCTGGTGCAAGCCCCGGCTCATGGAGAGAGGACGGACATGAGGATTGGGGGAGATGCTGCCTAGCTCATCCTGAAGGAACAGGAGAGCTTGGACGGGGTGTGGAGGGCTCAGTATGGGCTCTTTCCCTGGGACCCTGGGCGAGTCTTTTAAATCTAGAAAAGCGTCTGTGGCGAGGGGCAGAAATTGCTTTTCCCTCTTCTTTCCAAGCCAGAGTGCTTCCCAGGGTCGGGTTGACATCGCTTGGAGCATGCCGGGAGGGACCTGCCACTGGCTGCTGTGTGGTGTCCCTCCTGTGTCATGGATTGCAGGGCCATGGCTGTTTTGGGAACAGAGAGGACAGAGGGGAGGGATGTGGGTTGCTGGCATCAACTCCACTTCGCTGGACCACTGCTGCCCCACTGGGTGCCCCCAACAGCCCAGTGCTGGTGACCTGCCATGTGGAGCCATGGTGGTGTGAGCCAGCCTGGAAGGTGATGCCTGAGGCTCGGGAAGTGAGCAGACAACATCCCATTTAAATCCCGTTAATACCTGGGAGTGCACACGGAGGTGGCCCAAGCCACGGTGAGCTGCACGGGCAGTGGTGGGGCTGCCGTGCTGATGCCATGTCTGTGCCGTGCCGGACTTCCCCATCTGCAACCAGAGCTAAAAATATCCCCCTGCCTCGCCCCGCCGCCGTCCCATCTGTTTGGAGGGCAAACTCCTCGGGCCAGGGACTCTTTCTTATTTTCATCACTATTTTGGCAGTTCCTGGAGGCTGAGCCGTCCCGAGTTCAGAGGTGACTCTATTGCAGATGACAGTCCTGCCCCCAGGAAGGTTCGGCTCTGCCGCTGAGCCCGACGCGGTGAGCAGAAAGCAAGTGAGTCAGAGGAGGAGGAGGAGGAGGAAGGCTGGGGAGGCACGGAAACCCGTGGCCATGCCAGTGCTGTGGGGCAGGCACCAGGTGCCCCCGGCCACACGGGCCCTCCCTGTGCTGGCAGGACTGTGGGGTGCATCACCCCCTGCCTCCCCCCCGCTGGTGTCTGAGACTTCACCACCTGATGCACCTCTCAGGGGTTTGGTTTTGTTTTTTCTTTTCCTTTTTTCCTCTAATTAGGGAAGCTTTCAATGAAGAGCTGAAATTTGTTAATCACTTTGTTTGATCAGAGCTCAGGCAGTGCTGAAAACCTCTAGGTTTTTCCCTCTGCCTGTGTGAGCAGCAGTTTGCTTTTGCTTTCAAGATGGATCTTGCCGTCTGCCTGCCAGCAGCTCTGCCTCCCCGGATCTGTCGGTTTGCATCTCGCACTCCACTTTGCTTTGCTTGTGGTTCTTCTTTAATTTTTCCTTTTCCCTCACTCTTGGTGTCTCCTTGCTGTAGGTCCTCACCACTTACAAAACAGACAAGAGGCTGCATCCTTTAAAAAATTGTTAAAAACGTGCCCACTTGGAGCAAGGGTTTGTTAAATATGCAGGAAATCAATTTGGGGTGATTTATTTTGGGAGGGGTAGGCTGTACGTTTGCTTTCTCTTAAATGGGGGCTAAAAAGATGAGGAAGCAGGACCACTGAACTGCACAGGGAGAGTTTTTTGGGGAAACTCAGCCTGTTTTTGTGTGGGTCACGCCGAGGCTGGGGGTGTGCAGCAGCTGCTTCCTGATTCCCTCGCTGCTTTCCTGAGCTGTAGGTGAACCCTGTATAAAAGGGGGTGATGAGATGAGGTCTGTGCAGTGGTTCTAGGGCTCCTCGCTGCCACCTTCCTTGTCACCTGGAGGGGTCTGGTCGCAGTGAGATGTCCCGGTTGTCGTTGAGTGCTGGGATGCCAAAGCAGCTGCCGGGGCCTGTTCCTGATGCTGAGTGCTGTTGTGGCACCCAGTGGGACTTTAAACAGCTTCGTGCCACTCTGGTCCCCAGGGGAGCGGGCACACGGTGCTGCTGCTCCCTGGCTGCCAAAAGCGAAGCCTGAATTGGCGGGAGCGGTGCTGGGCGGGTGTCTCGGTGCATGCAGTGAGGACGAGGTGGAAGGGCGGGGTGATGCCTGTGCCGGGATGTGTCAGGCTCCTGCCACCACCCAGGAGCCACCGTGGTGTCCCATCCCCAGGCAGCCAGACCAGACTGTGCCAGGGCCGTGCATTTCACTCCGTGCCGAGCAGGACACGTATGATTTCCCAACATGCAATTAGCCGTTGGTTTTCCTGGAGGCGGCGCACGGCTGTGCCCGCGGCTGCTCATGGAGGGGGTCGGCAGCACCCACGGCCCTGACCATCCTCTCTTTAATTGATCAGTGCTAATTGGAGTCCAGAGGGGGGGAGCTGAGTCCCTGCCATCTGTGCTGGCCGTGCCCTGGCGCCCAGGTCCTGCCGGCGTGGTAGCTCAAGGTCAGAGCCGTGCGCGGTGGCTTTGGGCTGCTGCCGGGCATGAGCCGGCACGGGGTGAAAGAGCTCCCCCCTCCTGTCCTGAGTCAGTGGTGTTTGGGGTTGGAAAGGGGGTAATTAAGTGACCTATTTCTGGGCAGGGAGGAAGGGAAGGAGGAGGAATCATTTTTCTTTCCAGAGCTTCAAACAGCTTCCAGCAAGCGTCCGGCACAAACCCAAAACCGCTTCCAAGAGGAGGTGCCTCTGTCGCCCCCCAGCTGGGGGGCTTGGGGCACGGGTGGGGGGCTGTGGGCTGTGGGGAAGGGTGACCTCCCACTGCAGCACTGCTGCCGCATTGGCCTTTTTTTTTGGAAGGAGGCAGGGCAAATCCATGGCTCCTGAATTTTTTTTCCTCCCAGCCCCAAAAAATAGTAACGAGATTTGGGAGGCAGCCTGTGAGGTCCCCGACCTGAGCCCACCCCAGGGCTGCCAAGGGATCATCTTAGAATTCCCAGTAGGATTCCTCCTCCTCATCCTTCTCCTGCAATACGGGAGATTATCAGCAGGAGGTGGATCCTGCAGCCCTGGGGGTGCTGGGACTGTCGGCAGGGGGGTTCCTGCTCCTGAGGATGCGGTGAAGCTTTGGGTGGAAGGTGCTACTGATGGATATAAGCAGTGCTTATAAATAGCCCTGCTTGAAAGTTTTCATCTTCGTTTTAAATGGAAGTGCCTTTTGGAACAAAGTGACTTTCCTCCATCCTTTTGGAAAGCATCTTTTTTTTTTCTCTTATTTTGAAGATGAAATTTTTCTTTTTACTTTTAAATGTTTTCCTTTCCAATTATTGGAAGACTTCAGGGAAAAATTGCTAGGCGCCATATTCAGGAACACATCCCATGTCGTGCAGGTGGAGAAAATATGTGGGGTCAGATTAGTTTGGTTTGGTTTTCCTTAGAAAAGAAATTGAGAATGGAAAATGTTCAAGGCATCAGTGACACTTTTCTGTTAAAGCTGACAAAATTTGGGGGGCTGAAAAAATGGAGTTTGCTTAAAACCTGCTGCATCAAGTGTAAGAAAAAAAACACCCCTTTAAATAAATTAAATAAATTGGATGAAGAACTTCAGTTTAGTGAAAAACTGGCAGCATTTCTGGGCTTCTGTCTGGAATTTTTCAGTTGTAAAACCTGAAATCCTCCCCCACCCCAAGCAGTAACCTTGAGACACAGCGCCGGAGCAGGAGTTTCCACTGACAGGGAAGAAAAAAATTAAAATAAAGAATGTAGACAAATTATTTTGACCGACCAGCCTTTTTTTTTTGTTGCAAGGGCAGTCACTGAGACCAACCTGCCCCTGGGCCGTGGTGGTCAGTCCTGGGACCAGAAGATAAACCAGCGTCATGCAGGGCTGGGGCAGGGGGTGGCTGGGATTTGGCTCCAGGCACAGGTGCTCCTGGTCTGTGGTGGCATCTGTGGGAGAGGACTTTCTGCAAGCTCGGGACTGCCAAGAAATGCATGTTTTTCACCAGTCTTGGATGGTCCGGAGGCAGAGAGGGGTCATGTGTTTGTGTAACCATAGGCTGAGCTGTTGAGGTGTTGTCTAAATATCCCGATAAATGTCCCCATGGA